GAAGGGAAGGGAAGGGAAGGGAAGGGAAGGGAAGGGAAGGGAAGGGAAGGGAAGGGAAGGGAAGGAAGGGAAGGGAAGGGAAGGGAAGGGAAGGGAAGGGAAGGGAAGGGAAGGGAAGGGAAGGGAAGGGAAGGAAGGGGAGTCATCAAGAAAAGCTCATAAGTTTCTCGTTTGTAGCCAATGGTGGCTATTGGTACTAGTTCACTGAGGTGGCCATCCTGTTAGAGGATGAAGCTTAAGTGGAAAGACTGTGAGAGCAGGTAGTTTGAAGGCTTTTGATCTGCCCAAAAGAGATGCCACATTGACAGGTGGAGATACAGAGCTGGGCTCAGGCAGATAAGAGATAAATATTGAACATTCAACATACATTCATGATAAAAACGCTTTAAAAACTAAGCATAGGAAGAACGTATCTCAACACAATACAGTGCATACAGCACAAGCTCACAGGAAACATCATACTCAATGGTGAAATACTGAAAGCGCTTGCTCTAGGATCAGGAACAAGACAAGGATGTCCACTCTCACTACTCCTATTTAGCACAGTACTAGAAGTCCTACTAGAGCCATCAGGCAAGGAAAGAAATTAAAGGTATCCAAAGTAGAAAGGGGGGAAAAAAAGTAGAAAGGAAAAAACAAAATTGTCTCCATTTACAAATGACATGATTTTATACATGGAAAATCCCGAAGATTCAGGAAAAAAAAAAAAAACTCTTTAGTTTTAGTCAATGAATTCAGTAAAGTCGTAGCATCCAAAATTAACAGTAGTATTTCCAGACGCTGACAATGAATTTTCTGAAAAAGAAAAAAAATTCATCTCCTTGATAATAGCATCAAAAATAAGAAGATATTTACAGATAAATTTAAGGAAGCAAAAGACCTCTACTCTGAGAACTTCAAGACATTGATGAAAGAAACTGAATAAGACACAAATAAATGGAAAGGTATCCTATGTTCACAAATTGGGAGAATTAATATTGTTAAAAAGTCAATACTACCAAAAGCCACTTATACAGTCAATGTAATCCTTATCAAGACTGCAGTGGCATTTTTTTTTTCAGAAGCTATACCATAAAGCTATTGTCATCAAAACAGTATAGTACTGGCATAAAAATGGATAAATCGACCAGTAGAACAGAACTGAGAGCCCAGGAATAAACCCAGGCATATACAGTCGACTGGTATTTGACAAGGGAGCCAAGAATAGTCAATGGAGAAAAGACAGGCTTTTCAATAAAAGATGCTGGGATAATTGGATATTTACGTGTAAAATAATAGAACTGGGCCCATACCACTCACAAAAATGAACTCAAACTGGATTGAAGACTTAAAGGAAAGACATAAAAACCGTGAAATGCTCAGAAGAAAACATAGGACTAAAGCTCCTTGGCATGGGTCTTAGTCATCATTTTTTGGGTGTGACACTTAAAAGTACAAGCAACAAAATAAAAAATAAGTGGGACTACATCAAACTAAAAAAGCTTCTGCATAGGGGATCCCAGGGTGGCTCTGTGGTTTAGCGCCTGCCTTTGGCCCAGGGCATGATCCTGGAGTCCCGGGATCAAGTCCCACATTGGGCTCGCTGCATGGAGCCTGCTTCTCCTTCTGCCTGTGTCTCTGCCTCTCTCTCGCTCTCTGTGTCTCTCATGAATAAATAAATAAAATCTTTAAAAAAATAAAAAATAAAAAGCTTCTGCATAGCAAAAGAAACAACAAAGTGAAAACAATGGGAAAAAAATATTTCCAAACCATGTAAGGGGTTAATATTTAAAATATATGAAGAAGTCATAGAACTCAATAGCAAAAACAAAACAAAACAAAACAAATAACCCAATTAAAACATGGGAAAGGGACCTCAATAGACATTTCTCCAAAGAAGATACCTGAAAGGTCAATAGGTACATGAAAAATGCTCAACATCACTAGTCATTTGGGAAATGCAAATTTAAACCACAAAATTCTCTCACATCTGTTAGAATGGCTATCATCACAAAGACGAGAGAGAACAAATGCCTGCATAGATGTGGAGAAAAGGGAATCATTGTGCGTGGTTAGTGGGATTGTGAATTGGCACAGCCACTATGGAAAACAGTATGAAGAATCACCCCCAAATTAAAAATGGGCCCACCAGATGATCCAGCGATTCCACTTCTGGAGAGACATTCAAAGAGGATGAAAACACTAACTTGAAAAGACATCTGCACTCCTGTGTGCGTTATTTATAATAGCCAAGACATGGAAATCACCTACGTGTCCATCAACGGATGAATGGTTAAAGAAATTATGATATATGCATGTACACTAGAATATTATTCAGCCGTAAAAAGGAGTAATCCTATTATTTGCAACAACATGGATGGACCTTGAAGGCAAATTCTAAGTGAAATCAGTGAAACGGACAAAGACAAATATGTGGGATGTATTCATCTATAAATATACATACATATATATATATGTGCATACCCATTATGTATCATCTTCCACCTAACCACGCCTATATTATATATAACTATATATAGATATAGTTTTATATAGTTCCACTTGTTTATTTTTATTTTGTTGCTTGTACTTTTAAGTGTCACACTGTAAAAATTATATACATACATACACACACACATATATATATATATTCACTTATATATGGAATCTAAAATCTACGATGAAAACAAAAGTAAACTCTTAGCAAAAGAGATTAGATTTGTGGTTGCCAGAGGCAGAATTGGAGAAGGGGGAATTGGTGAAGGTCAAAAGGTATGAATCTCCAGTTGCAAGATAAATAAGTATTAAGCGTACCATGTACAACATGATGTCTCGAGCTAACATTGATGTAGGATTTAGGGGAAAGCTCTTGAGAGTAAATCTCAAGAATTCTCATCACAAGGAAAAACAATTTTTTCTTCTTTTCTTTTAATTGTATCTATAGGACACAATGGATATTAGCCGAACCTGTTGTGGCAATCATTTTACAGTATGTGGAAATCAAACCATTGTACTGTATGCCTGAAACTTATATGGTGATGTCTATCAATTATTTCTCAATAAACCCAGGGGGAAGAAGAGAATAATCATTGGCAGAGTGATAACTTGAAACCTCAGGTACGGAGGAGTTAGCCCAGGCCCATGGGACAGTGGGTAGGAAGCAAAAAGAGAAGAAGACTGGGAGCCAGACCTTAAGAACTTCAGCATTCAGTGACCATGAAGATGACGAATCTGCAAAGGAGCTGCCAGGGAGGTAGAAGGAAAGAAGAATTCAAGAAGAAAAGAGGGTTTAATAAGATCAATAGAAGACGAAACTTGAAATCCCAGAGTACTTAGAACCAGGAGTGGATTAGGAAGTGCTGAGGAATGAATGGGAGATAGAAAAGTAAGGCAGTGATTATAGAAGCGAGTCAGGCAGTGAAGAAAGACGAACGTATTCTACATCTGATGGGAAGACTCTGTTGAGAGAGAGAAGTGAAGAAATGAGCACGAGTGTAAGTTTTCTGGGAGGGCAGGGCTGTGACCAGACACACAGATGGAAACATTGGCGGGTACCTCCTACTGTGCAGTAGACCTCCAAGTAACAAAAGACAGAATCATCACAGAGGTTAGGAAGTGAGAGGGGTTTCCAGGACAGAGTTCCTGGGAGTTTCATGTCCATTTCTGTAACGCTATTAACAGCCCCTCTTTCACTCCACAGGGAGTGCTCTGCTCCTAAGTTAGCATCAACCTACCATGTCAGCATCTAATTATCTACATCCAGAAAGGACACCCCGCATGTTTATATATGTGCATCTGTGGGATTTCAGAAAGCGTTTCACTGCTTGTGATCGGCTGCAATCATCTCTGATATTCTGCAAATTCCAAATGCTTTCTCTACCCATATGTGGCTCTGGGCCTCTTTCCTTCCCGTGGCATTGTGCTTTGTTAACCTATCATGCTCTCTGGTTAACCTATAGGGGCCTAAACTCAGAAAAGGAGGAAGAGCTAAGGAATTCAGGTTTTTTGACTTTTGTCCCAGGAGACTTGTCTTGGGGACACCCAGTTCTTGGCTCTCTCTGAGGCTGCGATGGGAGAAAAAAAAAGGAGGGGAGGCTATAGGCCCCTTAAACCCAGTCTCTGCTGGAGCCCTGAGGGATAGTCAGAAAGAGGTTGCACCCTGTCCAGAGAACCTCTTTCCTTGTCATTCTCCTGAGACCACACACATATACTGGACTGTGTTGGATTTGGGCCTTTGACTAACGTGTCAGGTGGATCTCACTAAGCTGTTCAAAGGTACAGTAACCAAAGTTGAAATTCTACCTCACTTCCTAGTTCCCTGGTTTTAATTCAAGAGTGGGGAGCCAGAGAGAGGGGATTTACTGACTAAGGTCCGAGGAAGGACACCTCCAAGGATGCACCTTCTCTCCTGACCTCACCTCCACTCCTGTCCTTCCTTTGCCTCACTTTTAAGCTTCCCAGTCTGGCTTGGCTTCCTTCCCCTCCCCTCCCCTCCCCTCCTCTCCTTTCTCCTCCCATTTCCTTCCCTTCTCTTTTTAAACTAGGGTCTAATGCTGCACAAAAATATTTATTTATTTAGTTAGTTTACTTATTTATTTACTTATTATTTTTGTTCATTATTTATTTGTTTGTTTGTTTGTTTATTTAATTATTTATTTATGAGAGAGAGTGAGCTGAGGGAGGCGGAGAGGGACAGGGACAGAATCCTTAAGTAAGTTCCATGCTGCTGAGCGTGGAGCCCAACGCAGGGTTCCATCTCAGAACCTGAAGGCCGTGACCTGGGCGGAAATCAAGAGTTGGACGCTCAACCATTGAGCCACCCAGGCGCCCCACCCAGTGTGGTTTTCTAACCATGCCCCTGGTCACATCTAGTCCCTCTGCAAGAGGAAGGGGTTCAGCCCCCTGGCCAGTCACCCCCTGGCTCTGGGATGCTCTTTCAGACTCTTTCAAGGTAGCAGCTGCTGGCTCCAGAGGGTCAGTGCAGGCCCTGGTTGTGTGAGGAAAGGAAAGATGAGTGTTTACCTTGCCAAGTGATCTCTCCAACTTCACGAACTGTGGCTTGTTTCCTTAGGGGTAAGACAGGACCAAAAATGAATGGAGTTCCTCAGTTACAGCTGGAACAAAACAAAGTGGGGGTAGAAATGATCAGTTCTCTGATTTGAACTTACAAAAGTATCCCCCTCCTCACTGGGCCTTCTTCTTCTTAAGGAAAAAAAAAAAAGAATATATATATTATATATTATACACGTAAATATATATATGTATATATGTAAATATATATATGTATAGATTTAGTCCTTTTTTAAACATATGTTTTATTGGAGTTCAATTTGCCAACATATAGCATATCCCCCAGTGCTCATCCCGTCAAGTGCCCTCCTCAGTGCCCGTCACCCAGTGACCCCAACCCCCTGCCCACCTCCCTTTCCACTACCCCTTGTTCGTTTCCCAGAGTTAGGAGTCTCTCATGTTCTCTCTCACTGATATTTTCACTCATTTTCTCTCCTTTCCCCTTTATTCCCTTTCACTATTTTTTATATTCCTCACTGGGGCTTCTTTTTTCCCTTCACCCCCATATGTGCACATGGTTTCCAAGAGCACACATGAGGCAAACCAGCTCTCCAAACCTACAGATGGAGTATACACAATTTCTCATAGAAAAAATGGGGAGCATTTACTCCCCTAAGACGCGGCTTCTAAAATTGTTGTCCCCAGCCGGCAGCATCAGCATCACCCAGAGGCTTATTGGAAACGTAGATTCTCAGACTCACTCAAGACAAGCTGAATGAGAAGCCTTAAGGGAGGCCCCCAGCCATCTGCGTTTTAATGAGCATTCCAAGTATTTCTGGTGCCCGTTCCACTTTGAGAACCACAGCTCTAGGACACTAGCTCTCAAGTTAGCCAGCTCAGTCAAATCACCTTGGGAACTTTTAAAACTAACCAAACCTACACTCTACTTCTCCAGATCATTGTTCAAAGCTCTACCAGGGGTTTGCCGTTTTCTGAAACCCCTCAGGTAGTTTTGATGTACAGCCAAGATTGAGAGCCGATGCCTTAACTCAACATATTTTCTGTATTTTAAAATCTCAGAGCAAATCTGACAGGACAACCCACCCTCCGATAGCTTTTACATTTCAATTTCTCTCTGTATCCTGACTTTCACTGTTGGCTCTTTTTTCTCATGTTCTGCCTCCACCTCCCACAACTTAGATGTACCTCAGCTAGGCTTTCCTCCTTCCATCCACATCCAGATATTGAAGGTATTCAATATTTTCTTCCTGGAGAAAAAGAGAAAGGGAAATGAATGGGAGGGAAAGAGTATAGTGTTGAAGTCCTGTACCTAACAAAATACTTTTTGTTATTTTAAATAAATATATACTTAGAAAGAAAGCTTTCCACCAGACCTCACAACAAAGAGTCTCTGACTCATTTATACTTACTTAGCCCAGAATTTCTTCTAGGTTGGTGGAAATTTGCCATTTCTAACTCCTATACTACGGGCAATCTGTTCAGGCCCCATGGTAAGAGAGGAGTCAGCACCTCATTACTGGCTCTCAACCTCAGCATCTTCAGAGAGGACACATCTCCACGTCCATGGTACTTCCTTCACCGTTCACATGTAAAACTGGAACTCATGCAGGCTAGAATGGCATTCCACAGATGACCCTTTGTCAGAAAGACCCTGGGATTTCTCACTTGTTCTCAGTTAAAATTTCAAAGGCTCTCTGTGCTGGTACTGGGTAACAAGATAGATTCTGGCATCCCTGGAAGGTTGAGAGTCATTGCCTGCAAGTGGCAGGACTCTGAACCCCTCAGAAAGCAAAAGGGATGCTAGGAGAGACGTTTCCTTCCTAGTGCCTTGCTGGGGCCCTCTGATAGGACAGGATCTATCTCATTTCTCTGACTCTAGAGGTGGCCCGAGGCCCACCAGCGAAGGTGTTCTTGCTTCTAGAAAGCAGAGATTAAAAGAAAATCTGATACAGCAATTTCAACACTCCTTTATCCTCTTCCTGAAGCAGATTTCCATACAAGACAGCTTTGCTTCTAAGAGTACATTCCGGTGCCCTTCATGTCAAAACCAACAGGATTAATTCTCAGTTGTGAGTTGACGTAGCTGCAACAGGCTGGTCAGCTCGGAGCTCGTCGTGGAACTAAGAAGGCAGAGGAGAGGAGAAGTTCGATAGTAGGAAAAAGGCAGGGGCCGGGCCGATGGGCCTTAAAGTACGACATCTGAAATGAAGGACAACTACATAGGGGAGAAAGACAACATTCCTTCTGAACCTAAGGCAATCTACATGCCAACTGATGCTTGAGGGAGAAGTAATCCAGGGTAAATAGAGGGGCATCATATTCCATGATGACTGGTCTCAAGCCCAGACTCCAGCTTACTCCCCCCACCCCCACCCCCACCCCACAGTCTTGTCTTTCCTTGTAGAGTCAGGGTGTGGTTGGTAACTGTCAGCCTATGCCAAGCAGAGAGCAGGACTTCCCTTGGAATCAGCAGGAAATACAGGGATGTCACTAACACCTTCTTAAAGGTTTCGCCGTGGCATCTGGTTCTCTCTACCACCAAGCAATCAAGCAAGGTCTACCAAGTGAAGGAGTGTCTGTGTGGAGACAGGGACCATGCTGTTTGGATGATCTTGTGAGGGCACGTACCCATGTACTTAGAGAAGGTAGAACCACACGAAAGGACATCGGATTCAAATACTCGACTCACTCTGCTCTCACAGCAGGTTGGGACATCAGAAGGCATCACTTCCTCACGGTTTTAGAGGTCAACAGCCCTGAGAGGGAGATTGAACAGGGCTGGAGGAGGCAAGCCAAGAAGAAAACCAAATACAGACAGCTGGCCTCAAGGGGCAGAGACAGTGATCATAAAAAACAAAACAAAACAAAAAAAAAAACTAAACGAGGAAGACACTCAGAAATAAGATCCGCCTAAAGAGGCTAGCCAGTGCACTAGATTTCCTCTTCCTCCAAAAAGGCTTACAGATTATAGATCAGAGAGAAGATGCTTGAGAGTGCCGAGTAAACCGTGAAGTCAAGGAGTTTTGAGTGGTACTCGGTAGGGATTGAAAGCCATGGATTCAAAGTGACATAACTGTAGATATTTCTCAAGAATCCTTGTCAACCCAGGTAGACAAGCAGAGACAGCACTTAAAGAGTTGTATCCAGAAGCTGGGGGGTGGGGGGTGGGGGTGGTTTCCTGGGTTTGTCGAATGGAAAGATAATGGGCAAGGAGATTGAAATAAGGACCCCAGGAGCCAGACTGAGCAGAAGGGAACAGTGAGGCTAGTAGAGGACACATAGACTGGGGCAAAATTAAGACATGGAGGGAGCGCCTTCTGTTCTTTACGATTGAGAATGGTTGTCAATGCACAAAAAGGAGTGTAACAGCGGCGACAGAGAGGCATTGGAGGAGATACTGCAGTTTAAGTTTCCAGCATGCAGCAGCCTCTCGGTGTGTTTGTAACTGGGAATGGTTGGTCTACAGCAGAAGGAGAGATCTCTCAAAGTGAGTAATTGAAGAAACTGTGAGCCTTTTGTGTTCGGTAGGTAGTGTGACTAGACAGATGTCTCAACTTGTCTAAGGTGGGCCCACTTTCTATCTGTTGCTCCACAGTAATTATTAATACTGTTTCCCAGGCTTTCAAAAGTATCCAGGTTTGACGGATACATTCATCAGCAGTGGGAGTAGCAGAAGCCAGCAGTGGTGGCCATGGCCCAGGAGAGGGGAGGGGAGCTGCATGAGGGCAGTGCTGGGACTTCAGCAGGAGGCATGATCCTATTCATCTGCAGAGACATTCTCTGGGGCATCTTCACCAATACGAACTCTTTGGCCTGAACTCAAGGACAGAAATTACCCAATACTCTGGCTTCGGATGTCATGGTTCTGGGCAGAGGACTTTCATGCTAAGTACTCATCTTTGGACTTAGCTCACCTCTGACTTCTCCAGGCTTGGCACAGTGTCAAGAGATGGATAAAGAGTGAGAAAGGCTGGGGATCCCTGGGTGGCTCAGCAGAGGCGCCTTCAGCTCAGGTCCTGATCCTGGGATCCGGGACCCAGTCCCACATCGGGCTCCCTGCGAGGAGCCTGCTTCTCCCTCTGCGTGTGTCTCTGCCTCTCTCTCTCAGTCTGTGTCTCATGAATAAATCAATAAATCTTAAAAAAAAAAAACAAAAAAAAAACGGATGGGTAGAATTAATAAGGCTAGGAAAGTCTTCCTTGAGGAACTGCCTCTTCTATTCTAAAGTTAGAATAGATTTAACTAGGCAGAAGGTATTTCAGATGAAGATAATTTGGTGTGTAAGGGTCCTGTGATGAGAGGGAGCAGGGTGAGTTGGAGAAACTGAAGAAAGCCAAGTGCTGCTGGAAGGACAAGAAGGAGCTATGAAATGAAGTTGGGAAGATAGGAAAGAGACAGGACCTAGTGCAGTCATACTACCGATGTCTTTATCCTAAGTGCAACTGGAAGTCCTGACATGCTTCAGCAAAGAAGTGGAGTGGTCCGGATGGTAGAAGGGTCTAGGGTGATGCTCTAGAGTGATGGCTATGGAAAGAGTAAGAAGAAGAATCCGAAGACCATTTAGGAGATCCAATGCACAGAACTTGGTGACAGATTAAGCGGGTAGGGAAGGGAAGGGAAGGGAAGGGAAGGGAAGGGAAGGGAAGGGAAGGGAAGGGAAGGGAAGGGGAGTCATCAAGAAAAGCTCATAAGTTTCTCGTTTGTAGCCAATGGTGGCTATTGGTACTAGTTCACTGAGGTGGCCATCCTGTTAGAGGATGAAGCTTAAGTGGAAAGACTGTGAGAGCAGGTAGTTTGAAGGCTTTTGATCTGCCCAAAAGAGATGCCACATTGACAGGTGGAGATACAGAGCTGGGCTCAGGCAGATAAGAGATAAATATTGAACATTCAACATACATTCATGATAAAAACGCTTTAAAAACTAAGCATAGGAAGAACGTATCTCAACACAATACAGTGCATACAGCAGAAGCTCACAGGAAACATCATACTCAATGGTGAAATACTGAAAGCGCTTGCTCTAGGATCAGGAACAAGACAAGGATGTCCACTCTCACTACTCCTATTTAGCACAGTACTAGAAGTCCTACGAGAGCCATCAGGCAAGGAAAGAAATTAAAGGTATCCAAAGTAGAAAGGGGGGAAAAAAAGTAGAAAGGAAAAAACAAAATTGTCTCCATTTACAAATGACATGATTTTATACATGGAAAATCCCGAAGATTCAGGAAAAAAAAAAAAAAACTCTTTAGTTTTAGTCAATGAATTCAGTAAAGTCGTAGCATCCAAAATTAACAGTAGTATTTCCAGACGCTGACCATGAATTTTCTGAAAAAGAAAAAAATTCATCTCCTTGATAATAGCATCAAAAATAAGAAGATATTTACAGATAAATTTAAGGAAGCAAAAGACCTCTACTCTGAGAACTACAAGACATTGATGAAAGAAACTGAATAAGACACAAATAAATGGAAAGGTATCCTATGTTCACAAATTGGGAGAATTAATATTGTTAAAAAGTCAATACTACCAAAAGCCACTTATACAGTCAATGTAATCCTTATCAAGACTGCAGTGGCATTTTTTTTTTCAGAAGCTATACCATAAAGCTATTGTCATCAAAACAGTATAGTACTGGCACAAAAATGGATAAATCGACCAGTAGAACAGAACTGAGAGCCCAGGAATAAACCCAGGCATATACAGTCGACTGGTATTTGACAAGGGAGCCAAGAATAGTCAATGGAGAAAAGACAGGCTTTTCAATAAAAGATGCTGGGATAATTGGATATTTACGTGTAAAATAATAGAACTGGGCCCATACCACTCACAAAAATGAACTCAAACTGGATTGAAGACTTAAAGGAAAGACATAAAAACCGTGAAATGCTCAGAAGAAAACATAGGAATAAAGCTCCTTGGCATGGGTCTTAGTCATCATTTTTTGGGTGTGACATTTAAAAGTACAAGCAACAAAATAAAAAATAAGTGGGACTACATCAAACTAAAAAAGCTTCTGCATAGGGGATGCCAGGGTGGCTCTGTGGTTTAGCGCCTGCCTTTGGCCCAGGGCATGATCCTGGAGTCCCGGGATCAAGTCCCACATTGGGCTCGCTGCATGGAGCCTGCTTCTCCTTCTGCCTGTGTCTCTGCCTCTCTCTCGCTCTCTGTGTCTCTCATGAATAAATAAATAAAATCTTTAAAAAAATAAAAAATAAAAAGCTTCTGCATAGCAAAAGAAACAACAAAGTGAAAACAATGGGAAAAAGATATTTCCAAACCTTGTACGGGGTTAAAATGTAAAATATATGAAGAAGTCATAGAACTCAATAGGAAAAACAAAACAAAACAAAACAAACCAAATAACCCAATTAAAACATGGGAAAGGGACCTCAATAGACATTTCTCCAAAGAAGATACCTGAAAGGCCAATAGGTACATGAAAAATGCTCAACATCACTAGTCATTTGGGAAATGCAAATTTAAACCACAAAATTCTCTCACATCTGTTAGAATGGCTATCATCACAAAGACGAGAGAGAACAAATGCCTGCGTAGATGTGGAGAAAAGGGAATCATTGTGCGTGGTTAGTGGGATTGTGAATTGGCACAGCCACTATGGAAAACAGTATGAAGAATCACCCCCAAATTAAAAATGGGCCCACCAGATGATCCAGCGATTCCACTTCTGGAGAGACATTCAAAGAGGATGAAAACACTAACTTGAAAAGACATCTGCACTCCTGTGTGCGTTATTTATAATAGCCAAGACATGGAAACAACCAAAGTGTCCATCAACGGATGAATGGTTAAAGAAATTATGATATATGCATGTACACTAGAATATTATTCAGCCGTAAAAAGGAGTAATCCTATTATTTGCAACAACATGGATGGACCTTGAAGGCAAATTCTAAGTGAAATCAGTGAAACGGACAAAGACAAATATGTGGGATGTATTCATCTATAAATATACATACATATATATATATATGTGCATACCCATTATGTATCATCTTCCACCTAACCACGCCTATATTATATATAACTATATATAGATATAGTTTTATATAGTTCCACTTGTTTATTTTTATTTTGTTGCTTGTACTTTTAAGTGTCACACTGTAAAAATTATATACATACATACATACACATATATATATATATATTCACTTATATATGGAATCTAAAATCTACGATGAAAACAAAAGTAAACTCTTAGCAAAAGAGATTAGATTTGTGGTTGCCAGAGGCAGAATTGGAGAAGGGGGAATTGGTGAAGGTCAAAAGGTATGAATCTCCAGTTGTAAGATAAATAAGTATTAAGCGTACCATGTACAACATGATGTCTCGAGCTAACATTGATGTAGGATTTAGGGGAAAGCTCTTGAGAGTAAATCTCAAGAATTCTCATCACAAGGAAAAACAATTTTTTCTTCTTTTCTTTTAATTGTATCTATAGGACACAATGGATATTAGCCGAACCTGTTGTGGCAATCATTTTACAGTATGTGGAAATCAAACCATTGTACTGTATGCCTGAAACTTATATGGTGATGTCTATCAATTATTTCTCAATAAACCCAGGGGGAAGAAGAGAATAATCATTGGCAGAGTGATAACTTGAAACCTCAGGTACGGAGGAGTTAGCCCAGGCCCATGGGACAGTGGGTAGGAAGCAAAAAGAGAAGAAGACTGGGAGCCAGACCTTAAGAACTTCAGCATTCAGTGACCATGAAGATGACGAATCTGCAAAGGAGCTGCCAGGGAGGTAGAAGGAAAGAAGAATTCAAGAAGAAAAGAGGGTTTAATAAGATCAATAGAAGACGAAACTTGAAATCCCAGAGTACTTAGAACCAGGAGTGGATTAGGAAGTGCTGAGGAATGAATGGGAGATAGAAAAGTAAGGCAGTGATTATAGAAGCGAGTCAGGCAGTGAAGAAAGACGAACGTATTCTACATCTGATGGGAAGACTCTGTTGAGAGAGAGAAGTGAAGAAATAAGCACGAGTGTAAGTTTTCTGGGAGGGCAGGGCTGTGACCAGACACACAGATGGAAACATTGGCGGGTACCTCCTACTGTGCAGTAGACCTCCAAGTAACAAAAGACAGAATCATCACAGAGGTTAGGAAGTGAGAGGGGTTTCCAGGACAGAGTTCCTGGGAGTTTCATGTCCATTTCTGTAACGCTATTAACAGCCCCTCTTTCACTCCACAGGGAGTGCTCTGCTCCTAAGTTAGCATCAACCTACCATGTCAGCATCTAATGATCTACATCCAGAAAGGACACCCCACATGTTTATATATGTGCATCTGTGGGATTTCAGAAAGCGTTTCACTGCTTGTGATTGGCTGCAATCATCTCTGATATTCTGCAAATTCCAAATGCTTTCTCTACCCATATGTGGCTCTGGGCCTCTTTCCTTCCCGTGGCATTGTGCTTTGTTAACCTATCATGCTCTCTGGTTAACCTATAGGGGCCTAAACTCAGAAAAGGAGGAAGAGCTAAGGAATTCAGGTTTTTTGACTTTTGTCCCAGGAGACTTGTCTTGGGGACACCCAGTTCTTGGCTCTCTCTGAGGCTGCGATGGGAGAAAAAAAAAGGAGGGGAGGCTATAGGCCCCTTAAACCCAGTCTCTGCTGGAGCCCTGAGGGATAGTCAGAAAGAGGTTGCACCCTGTCCAGAGAACCTCTTTCCTTGTCATTCTCCTGAGACCACACACATATACTGGACTGTGTTGGATTTGGGCCTTTGACTAACGTGTCAGGTGGATCTCACTAAGCTGTTCAAAGGTACAGTAACCAAAGTTGAAATTCTACCTCACTTCCTAGTTCCCTGGTTTCAATTCAAGAGTGGGGAGCCAGAGAGAGGGGATTTACTGACTAAGGTCCGAGGAAGGACACCTCCAAGGATGCACCTTCTCTCCTGACCTCACCTCCACTCCTGTCCTTCCTTTGCCTCACTTTTAAGCTTCCCAGTCTGGCTTGGCTTCCTTCCCCTCCCCTCCCCTCCCCTCCTCTCCTTTCTCCTCCCATTTCCTTCCCTTCTCTTTTTAAACTAGGGTCTAATGCTGCACAAAAATATTTATTTATTTATTTAGTTATTTACTTATTTATTTACTTATTATTTTTGTTCATTATTTATTTGTTTGTTTGTTTGTTTATTTAATTATTTATTTATGAGAGAGAGTGAGCTGAGGGAGGCGGAGAGGGACAGGGACAGAATCCTTAAGTAAGTTCCATGCTGCTGAGCGTGGAGCCCAACGCAGGGTTCCATCTCAGAACCTGAAGGCCGTGACCTGGGCGGAAATCAAGAGTTGGACGCTCAACCATTGAGCCACCCAGGCGCCCCACCCAGTGTGGTTTTCTAACCATGCCCCTGGTCACATCTAGTCCCTCTGCAAGAGGAAGGGGTTTAGCCCCCTGGCCAGTCACCCCCTGGCTCTGGGATGCTCTTTCAGACTCTTTCAAGGTAGCAGCTGCTGGCTCCAGAGGGTCAGTGCAGGCCCTGGTTGTGTGAGGAAAGGAAAGATGAGTGTTTACCTTGCCAAGTGATCTCTCCAACTTCACGAACTGTGGCTTGTTTCCTTAGGGGTAAGACAGGACCAAAAATGAATGGAGTTCCTCAGTTACAGCTGGAACAAAACAAAGTGGGGGTAGAAATGATCAGTTCTCTGATTTGAACTTACAAAAGTATCCCCCTCCTCACTGGGCCTTCTTCTTCTTAAAGAAAAAAAAAAAGAATATATATATTTACGTGTATATATATATATATATACACGTAAATATATATATGTATATATGTAAATATATATATGTATAGATTTAGTCCTTTTTTAAACATATGTTTTATTGGAGTTCAATTTGCCAACATATAGCATATCCCCCAGTGCTCATCCCGTCAAGTGCCCTCCTCAGTGCCCGTCACCCAGTGACCCCAACCCCCTGCCCACCTCCCTTTCCACTACCCCTTGTTCGTTTCCCAGAGTTAGGAGTCTCTCATGTTCTCTCTCACTGATATTTTCACTCATTTTCTCTCCTTTCCCCTTTATTCCCTTTCACTATTTTTTATATTCCTCACTGGGGCTTCTTTTTTCCCTTCACCCCCATATGTGCACATGGTTTCCAAGAGCACACATGAGGCAAACCAGCTCTCCAAACCTATAGATTGAGTATACACAATTTCTCATAGAAAAAATGGGGAGCATTTACTCCCCTAAGACGCGGCTTCTAAAATTGTTGTCCCCAGCCGGCATCATCAGCATCACCCAGAGGCTTATTGGAAACGTAGATTCTCAGACTCACTCAAGACAAGCTGAATGAGAAGCCTTAAGGGAGGCCCCCAGCCATCTGCGTTTTAATGAGCATTCCAAGTATTTCTGGTGCCCGTTCCACTTTGAGAACCACAGCTCTAGGACACTAGCTCTCAAGTTAGCCAGCTCAGTCAAATCACCTTGGGAACTTTTAAAACTAACCAAACCTACACTCTACTTCTCCAGATCATTGTTCAAAGCTCTACCAGGGGTTTGCCGTTTTCTGAAACCCCTCAGGTAGTTTTGATGTACAGCCAAGATTGAGAGCCGATGCCTTAACTCAACATATTTTCTGTATTTTAAAATCTCAGAGCAAATCTGACAGGACAACCCACCCTCCGATAGCTTTTACATTTCAATTTCTCTCTGTATCCTGACTTTCACTGTTGGCTCTTTTTTCTCATGTTCTGCCTCCACCTCCCACAACTTAGATGTACCTCAGCTAGGCTTTCCTCCTTCCATCCACATCCAGATATTGAAGGTATTCAATATTTTCTCCCTGGAGAAAAAGAGAAAGGGAAATGAATGGGAGGGAAAGAGTATAGTGTTGAAGTCCTGTACCTAACAAAATACTTTTTGTTATTTTAAATAAATATATACTTAGAAAGAAAGCTTTCCACCAGACCTCACAACAAAGAGTCTCTGACTCATTTATACTTACTTAGCCCAGAATTTCTTCTAGGTTGGTGGAATTTTGCCATTTCTAACTCCTATACTGCGGGCAATCTGTTCAGGCCCCATGGTAAGAGAGGAGTCAGCACCTCATTACTGGCTCTCACCCTCAGCATCTTCAGAGAGGACACATCTCCACGTCCATGGTACTTCCTTCACCGTTCAGATGTAAAACTGGAACTCATGCAGGCTAGAATGGCATTCCACAGATGACCCTTTGTCAGAAAGACCCTGGGATTTCTCACTTGTTCTCAGTTAAAATTTCAAAGGCTCTCTGTGCTGGTACTGGGTAACAGGATAGATTCTGGCATCCCTGGAAGGTTGAGAGTCATTGCCTGCAAGTGGCAGGACTTTGAACCCCTCAGAAAGCAAAAGGGATGCTAGGAGAGATGTTTCCTTCCTAGTGCCTTGCTGGGGCCCTCTGATAGGACAGGATCTATCTCATTTCTCTGACTCTAGAGGTGGCCCGAGGCCCACCAGCGAAGGTGTTCTTGCTTCTAGAAAGCAGAGATTAAAAGAAAATCTGATACAGCAATTTCAACACTCCTTTATCCTGTTCCTGAAGCAGATTTCCATACAAGACAGCTTTGCTTCTAAGAGTACATTCCGGTGCCCTTCATGTCAAAACCAACAGGATTAATTCTCAGTTGTGAGTTGACGTAGCTGCAACAGGCTGGTCAGCTCGGAGCTTGTCATGGAACTAAGAAGGCAGAGGAGACGAGAAGTTCGATAGTAGGAAAAAGGCAGGGGCCGGGCCCATGGGCCTTAAAGTACGACATCTGAAATGAAGGACAACTACATAGGGGAGAAAGACAACATTCCTTCTGAACCTAAGGCAATCTACATGCCAACTGATGCTTGAGGGAGAAGTAATCCAGGGTAAATAGAGGGGCATCATATTCCATGATGACTGGTCTCAAGCCCAGACTCCAGCTTACTCCCCCCACCCCCACCCCCACCCCACAGTCTTGTCTTTCCTTGTAGAGTCAGGGTGTGGTTGGTAACTGTCAGCCTATGCCAAGCAGAGAGCAGGACTTCCCTTGGAATCAGCAGGAAATACAGGGATGTCACTAACACCTTCTTCTTAAAGGTTTCGCCGTGGCATCTGGTTCTCTCTACCACCAAGCAATCAAGCAAGGTCTACCAAGTGAAGGAGTGTCTGTGTGGAGACAGGGACCATGCTGTTTGGATGATCTTGTGAGGGCACGTACCCATGTACTTAGAGAAGGTAGAACCACACGAAAGGACATCGGATTCAAATACTCGACTCACTCTGCTCTCACAGCAGGTTGGGACATCAGAAGGCATCACTTCCTCACGGTTTTAGAGGTCAACAGCCCTGAGAGGGAGATTGAACAGGGCTGGAGGAGGCAAGCCAAGAAGAAAACCAAATACAGACAGCTGGCCTCAAGGGGCAGAGACAGTGATCATAAAAAACAAAACAAAAAAAAAAAAACTAAACTAGGAAGACACTCAGAAATAAGATCCCCCTAAAGAGGCTAGCCAGTGCACTAGATTTCCTCTTCCTCCAAAAAGGCTTACAGATTATAGATCAGAGAGAAGATGCTTGAGAGTGCCGAGTAAACCGTGAAGTCAAGGAGTTTTGAGTGGTACTCGGTAGGGATTGAAAGCCATGGATTCAAAGTGACATAACTGTAGATATTTCTCAAGAATCCTTGTCAACCCAGGTAGACAAGCAGAGACAGCACTTAAAGAGTTGTATCCAGAAGCTGGGGGGTGGGGGGTGGGGGTGGTTTCCTGGGTTTGTCGAATGGAAAGATAAAGGGCAAGGAGATTGAAATAAGGACCCAGGAGCCAGACTGAGCAGAAGGGAACAGTGAGGCTAGTAGAGGACACATAGACTGGGGCAAAATTAAGACATGGAGGGAGCGCCTTCTGTTCTTTAGGATTGAGAATGGTTGTCAATGCACAAAAAGGAGTGTAACAGCGGCGACAGAGAGGCATTGGATGAGATACTGCAGTTTAAGTTTCCAGCATGCAGCAGCCTCTAGGTGTGTTTGTAACTGGGAATGGTTGGTCTACAGCAGAAGGAGAGATCTCTCAAAGTGAGTAATTGAAGAAACTGTGAGCCTTTTGTGTTCGGTAGGTAGTGTGACTAGACAGATGTCTCAACTTGTCTAAGGTGGGCCCACTTTCTATCTGTTGCTCCACAGTAATTATTAATACTGTTTCCCAGGCTTTCAAAAGTATCCAGGTTTGATGGATACATTCATCAGCAGTGGGAGTAGCAGAAGCCAGCAGTGGTGGCCATGGCCCAGGAGAGGGGAGGGGAGCTGCATGAGGGCAGTGCTGGGACTTCAGCAGGAGGCATGATCCTATTCATCTGCAGAGACATTCTCTGGGGCATCTTCACCAATACGAACTCTTTGGCCTGAACTCAAGGACAGAAATTACCCAATACTCTGGCTTCTGATGTCATGGTTCAGGGTAGAGGACTTTCATGCTAAGTACTCATCTTTGGACTTGGCTCACCTCTGACTTCTCCAGGCTTGGCACAGTGTCAAGAGATGGATAAAGAGTGAGAAAGGCTGGGGATCCCTGGGTGGCTCAGCAGAGGCGCCTTCAGCTCAGGTCCTGATCCTGGGATCCGGGACCCAGTCCCACATCGGGCTCCCTGCGAGGAGCCTGCTTCTCCCTCTGCCTGTGTCTCTGCCTCTCTCTCTCAGTCTGTGTCTCATGAATAAATCAATAAATCTTAAAAAAAACAAAACAAAAAAAAACGGATGGGTAGAATTAATAAGGCTAGGAAAGTCTTCCTTGAGGAACTGCCTCTTCTATTCTAAAGTTAGAATAGATTTAACTAGGCAGAAGGTATTTCAGATGAAGATAATTTGGTGTGTAAGGGTCCTGTGATGAGAGGGAGCAGGGTGAGTTGGAGAAACTGAAGAAAGCCAAGTGCTGCCGGAAGGACAAGAAGGAGCTATGAAATGAAGTTGGGAAGATAGGAAAGAGACAGGACCTAGTGCAGTCATACTACCGATGTCTTTATCCTAAGTGCAACTGGAAGTCCTGACATGCTTCAGCAAAGAAGTGGAGTGGTCCGGATGGTAGAAGGGTCTAGGGTGATGCTCTAGAGTGATGGCTATGGAAAGAGTAAGAAGAAGAATCCGAAGACCATTTAGGAGATCCAATGCACAGAACTTGGTGACAGATTAAGCAGGTAGGATAGGGTAGGGTAGGGTAGGGTAGGGTAGGAGGGAAGGGAAGGGAAGGGAAGGGAAGGGAAGGGAAGGGAAGGGAAGGGAAGGGAAGGGGAGTCATCAAGAAAAGCTCATAAGTTTCTCGTTTGTAGCCAATGGTGGCTATTGGTACTAGTTCACTGAGGTGGCCATCTTGTTAGAGGATGAAGCTTAAGTGGAAAGACTGTGAGAGCAGGTAGTTTGAAGGCTTTTGATCTGCCCAAAAGAGATGCCACATTGACAGGTGGAGATACAGAGCTGGGCTCAGGCAGATAAGAGATAAATATTGAACATTCAACATACATTCATGATAAAAACGCTTTAAAAACTAAGCATAGGAAGAACGTATCTCAACACAATACAGTGCATACAGCACAAGCTCACAGGAAACATCATACTCAATGGTGAAATACTGAAAGCGCTTGCTCTAGGATCAGGAACAAGACAAGGATGTCCACTCTCACTACTCCTATTTAGCACAGTACTAGAAGTCCTACTAGAGCCATCAGGCAAGGAAAGAAATTAAAGGTATCCAAAGTAGAAAGGGGGGAAAAAAAAGTAGAAAGGAAAAAACAAAATTGTCTCCATTTACAAATGACATGATTTTATACATGGAAAATCCCGAAGATTCAGGAGAAAAAAAAAAAAACTCTTTAGTTTTAGTCAATGAATTCAGTAAAGTCGTAGCATCCAAAATTAACAGTAGTTATTTCCAGACGCTAACAATGAATTTTCTGAAAAAGAAAAAAATTCATCTCCTTGATAATAGCATCAAAAATAAGAAGATATTTACAGATAAATTTAAGGAAGCAAAAAGACCTCTACTCTGAGAACTTCAAGACATTGATGAAAGAAACTGAATAAGAC